TGGACATTGTTTTTAGTAGGACGTTATAGCAACTGCTTTTCACTGTCCCTGCTTTTTACATCCAATGATTTATTTTTGATACGTTCGGTGTTTAGAGAACGAGAAATGAATAGACGCAACTGCTTTTCTACCTCCTCCAGAAAATCCATTGATTTTGAAATAGTTTTCGTATCACTGCAAATGAAAATTAGTGTGTAATGAGAGACCCCTATCCAGTCAACAAGAGGGTCGGCCGAACAAGGTAAGGGCCCACGGACGCCATAGAGACCCGTGTCGACACACAGGAAACGACGCGCGCGCTCGGCAAAACATACGCATAGACACTTAGATTGTGGCCCGTTGAGTATAGACCAGTTCGGGAGGGCTAAAAGCGCCTCTAGAGACGCATATAAAGTCTAACAGGAGATGGGCCATAAGAGCAGGAGGGCCCCAGTTGATAAAGGGGGCAATAGACCTGTGTTAGTCTAGTCTAGAATGAGTCCTTCTAGACCAACGAGTGAGCTGTAAAAGGACCTTAATGCGGCTGCCCCCCCCCCCCCCCCCGATGTGGTAACAAACCAAAGTACCATTAGTCGTAGTCTTAGCTGTTGATGAGATGACGAGACGCGGTGAGGAAAGGACGGAGTGTAGATAACGAGCGGGTCGACAGCCGTTCCTACCACGGATGTCCGGCGCTGTCCGTAGGACGTATCACTGCATGTGTTCACTTGGCGCCCTACAATTACAAAGTCCTCAACGAACGTTGCTCGAGGCCCGCATATTTGGATCGTGGGGGCGGGGCGGATATAAACGTAAAACTTTACGAGAGCGCTAAGAGAGGCTCCACATAGTTCCAAACCAGTTCCATACTTATGGCAAACATCGTCGAACTTGTGTGAGAGCAACGTAATCAGGAGTCCTCGTGAACCCGAGGATTGCTCGGAATAAATTGTCTTTTATTGGGAGCACAAAACGACTACCCTTGACCCAGGGGAGAGCGTCACGCTTATATGTTCATATAAGCGCTCGTTATTATAGTATATGTACTGTATAACTCTCACGTCCATCCGGCGTTATGAGATCAGACGAGATACATTTGTTGTAATTAAGTTGTTTATTAAGACTAGGTGCCAGCTGCCACCGATGTATGAGGCTCTCATCTTCTTTTTTTTCAACGATCCCCCGGAGAATCGACCGACGCCGCGCCCAACCGGGAACCTAGTCTTTATTGCCAAACGGCGATACGGATGCCAGCAGAATTACCAGTCCCGGCGAGACGGAGAGGTGCACTGGAAAAGAAACCGTCTAGCCTGCGGACGAAATGTTATATTCCGTTATATTGGAAACTTACACTGTAGTGTTTTTTAGAAAGAGGGGTAAGACCCACCCTTCACCTACAGAAATCGAAAAACGACGCCAGGGCGTGAGTAAAACAACAAACGAGAACCAACAGCAATTGAATTAATCAAAGGGCCGCCGGGAACTCTAAACATAGCGAAACCGGTAAGACCCAATTTGTCTTGACCTTCGCTACCGAGGAAAGACAGTTAGTTCATTTGAGACTTAATTCCAGTCCCCTCCGGGTTCTCCTCCCTAGTTTTGGACCAAAACAGATAAAATTGCTCGACTAAAAAAACATACTTACTAGCACTAGATGGTCGTAACGGGGGCCAGCTGCATGAGGCCGTGGAGACCTAATTTCGCTCCGATTGTAATCGACGAGGAGTCGTGAGTCTCCTGAAGGTACTTCAGGATTCATGTCGTCAGTGATATCACACTCGTGGTGTCTGTCAGACCAAATATGTCCTTGTACTTTATTGAGGACTAACTTATATCGACGACATCCGAGACAAGAGGAGAGACTAGGGGAGTCTGGCAGTCTCTGGTGCCTCGTTGTTCGAGTTGTGCTGTCAAAACATTGTCTCGCAGTGTTTGAAATGTGAGTTCAACTTACACAGTGCGACGTGCTTTGCGCCACTATACTTAATTGTAGAAGTGAGGAGCACCAACGGTCCGTGCCTAGCCCAGAAACGAACCGAGATGTAACTAAAGTGTTTGGCACAAATAGACGATTCGATTTGTGTTGGTCGAGTGGTCCAATATGATAATAATTATTTGTAGACATTTTTCTGTATAGTATCTATACGGTTCATCGAAGTTATTACGAAACCTTTTATTGACATATATCAAAAACTTAGTCATAAGTCGGTTGTAACAACGATAAATTTTGGTAAAATACGTGTCTATGTTACTATTATATTAACATATTAACTTTATAGGAATTTATTACAATCGGAATGAGACGACGGCAAAGGGAAATTGTTTTGACGAGGTGATATGTATATTTCTTGTCAATTATTATATATCTAATGTAGTGTTGACCTGGGAAGCCAGTCACTGTCATCTCTGAAATGAAACACGACTCCCAGGTCCAAGTAATGACTCGGCTCCTACTAGAAATCTGCGTCAGTGAGAAGTCTCCGTCTGTCGACCTCTGACTTCTACAACAGGAGAAGGAGGTAGAAAATTGTGTGAGTAGAAGAGGTCATAACTCTATCTCTATGTGTGTGGTGTGTGTTGTGTGTGTGTGTGGTGTGTGTGGTGTTGTGTGGTGTGGTGTGTGTGTGTGTGTGTGTGTGTGTGTGTGTGTGGTGTCGTGTGGTTTGTGTGTGTGTGTCATGAATTTTATTGTAATTTAGTCAGTCTGAGTCTCGTCCGGCCGAGGACGGTAAAAACGACGTGACCCGACAGGTAAAATTGAGCTCGCTTACGTCTTTTGTCCTTTTATATTTTCACATCGTTCGTGAACCCCGTCTTCAGAGTAACTCAAAAAAAAAAAAAAAAAAAAAAAAAAAAAAGGATCCCCTGCGGTCTAACAATTGGTTATTCAATAAAACTTGTAGGTCAAACTGTCTCACTTTCTATTTACACAATCTTTCGGCTAGCGAACACAATTGTGAGTGGGACACAAGAGGAGGACCAGCTCGACATTTTTACCCAGACCGTCAGTACTGTTCAGACTGAGTATGAAAGTTGAAAGTTGAGGGAAGGACAGACGTCGAAGAGGGGAGACTACAGTTTTGGTCGGAATAGTCGGACTGGGTCAAGGTGTCCCACCGTCACTCTCACTTATCTTTTTACTGGTACCGTCGATTTTTGTTCGAGTTGTTTCAATAGTTTTCCCTGTGTTGCAGGTGGTAGTCGTAGGTACTAACTAACTTTTCAAATAATTGTCGAACATTGAACCCATCGTCATGTCTGTCGAGGTTTTTGTTGTTATACAATATCCCCTACGTCTGCGTCTCTTTCTGAACGAGACAAATGCGTAGGCCCAGGGGTAAAGGTTAGGTAGTATAGTAAATTCTGTAAATTCTGTATAAACTGTATCGTCTACGAATAAATGTTAAATGTATCCGTTCTACAAAATGTATGTCTACCGAATGAATGTTAAAAGTAATATCTAAACCAAGATTATCGTAGGATTGGCCGTAAATTCTGTATGGTTAAGATCGTCTATGATGTCCAATCATTGCTCAGATTTTCGCTCATATATGTATCTACCCCCCCCTTCGACGGGTAACATGTGTCCACTCTAAACATTGCGTAAGGCCCTCGGTGAAACGTTGCGCTTTTTCCGGGTTCAGTTCTGGGTAAAACAAAGATGATGCGGGTCGGGGTTGCGGGTGTTGCATAATAAATATATTTAAATAATAATAATTTAGTTTAATGTTTAAATCCTCAGACCTCTCCCCCGCGGGACCGAGCATAATCATAACCTCTGCAGCGCATCTATCTGCTGCTGAGCGCGCCACATTCTGAATGGTTGAGGGGAAGCTCTCTAGCGGAGAATACAGCATTTTCAATAACTCTTCCTCAAGAGCGAAATCCAACGTCTGGGAGGCTTTTGGTGTCCTCCTGGATGCAGAAAATAACCAACATCCCAGGCTTTTTGAGCCAAATATGCAACTGCGTGTGTTAATAATTGCACGTTTTCACTGCTTATATATATGCGGGTTCGGGTCGGGTTGCGGATCTTGTGCCGGCGGGTCGGGTCGGGTTGCGGAACTAATTGGCAATATGTGCGGGTAGCGGGGCGGGTTCGGTATTGCACGTCGCGGGTGCGGGGCGGGAGCGGGTCTTGAAAATCAGACCCGTGCAGGACTCTGCCTTACAGTACACAGTTGATCCTGAGTCCTGTCAGTTAAAGTGTTTCATAGTTAGCTTAGCTAAGCATCAACCTAGCACTGAAATATATGGATCTTATGTGACAGTGTTGTGAAAAAGTCAGCTGAAATGGTGGCATAGTTGCCACTGCTTTACGTATCGACAGCATGTTTGAACGTATTTGCAGACGTAAATGTGGCTGTTTGGCCACTGACGTTGCCATAACAACACCTGAATGTAAATGTGCAACCTCTTTTTGTGACAGATTTTTGCATGAGATTATAATTCTTCTGAATGATATTCCTATTGACAGCTAGTTTTTATATGAACATTATGAGATGTACAGCCAGAGAGAATAAATGAAAAACAGTTATGAAATACTATATGACAAAACATGAATACAGTTTAAGTGATTTGTAAAATATCCATAAAGAAAAATCTTTTTACAGTTCTGTTTCATATGGGTGTTGAGAGATGTATCCATAGATCTCTTAATGTTGCTCTCAAAGTGCACCAGATGGATGCTTTTAACTTCAATATTTAAAAAAATCTTCCCGGGGGAGCATGCACCCGGACCGCCCTAGAGGAGGTTAGGTCCACGGTGTTTACATGCTTATTTATACAATATGTATGCTTATGCTAACATCATAAGACAAAAGTTGGTCCCATGTTGTGTGTAGTGAGAATGCGCCAGAGTGAGGGGGGCCCCCAAGCCAAAGCTCGCTTAGGGCCCCCAAAAGTCTAGGACCGGCCCTGGACATGGGGGTTGGCGCTAACTTGGTTTCGAGTCCACCCTTAAAAAAGCTTTGCCCGCCCCTGCTGGTCACTGTTTTACAAACAGTGGACCCACGGACATCGATATTCTCTTCCTGTCTCCGTCTCTGCAAATCCATTATTTTACCAGCCAATGTGGCCACTTTGTAACTCGGAGTTCTCCTGGTTAATACTCTTTAACGTGAAGCTTGTTTGACGTATTTTGGAGCGACGGAGCTCTTCCACCGGCGGAACAACTCACATGTGCGCAGAGAGCTGCACATTCACCGTCTGAGCAGTGCATCGTTCCGCTTTGTTGACAAGTGGCTTCAGTGGAAATCTGTTGCATGTCGCAGGTTGAGGAAGCTAAAGATGAAATAACATCGTGGATGTGAATCCTGCGCTTAAGAGGTGAGCAGAAGCTGTCTCTTTGTTTATGTTGAAGTGATGAATGGACGAACAGCAAAATAGCTCGAATACAAATGCTGCTTTGGCTTTGCGAGACTAGAGATTAGGGTTAGATTGACAAAGTTAATTAATCGTGTGTCCGCCTGCTCCATGCGAGGTGTTAATAATGGCAGTCAGGAGCTGGTAGCCTACTGATCACTGGATCAGAGGGCACTATGCTAAAATTAAGACGAACGACTTGTTGCCTGGACACAGATCATAATACAGGTAAAAACCTCAAAATGTGTGTTTAGAGTTTAACTTTGCAAGCTTTAGTTAGGTAGCTCTACTGTTACTTCAGTCACAATATGGAGGGATTATGCATTTATTTTACTTACTGCAATGATATTTGGACACCATACAATCATCATTAATCTGATTTTTATTATATTGTTTAAACTGTGACTTTTCAAACCTGATTATAACAAGAACAGAACATTTCATAAATCGTTTGTTTAGCCTACTACCCAAAAATATATCCCAAATTTGAAATGTGATCATTTTATGTGAATTAGTTAATAGTTGTAAAAGCGTAGACATGCATACCACACATTTTACTGTACAGACACCATCAATTCTACTTTTACAGATTATTTTCATTACTGATCAATCTGCAGAAAATGTCACATTTAATTGTATTCAACAAATACTATCAATGCTTTTTACAATGCTATGCAATGGATACTAGCAGCAAATCCTTACATTTGAAACCTGGAACCAGAGAACATTTGTCATTTATGTTGATCAACTAATCAATAATTGACTAGTCGTACATTGATTTATTTTGGCAATCGGAAAATGCTGAGAATGAGCAATAACAGTAATGTTTAGGTAAAGTATTAGATATTCAAGTACAATGGCTCTTCCTCTTGAACTGTTCTTAATTCTCACATTGGCTGTGTTTTATAAAGTGGGTAAAGATTGCAGAGATGGAGAATGCCACACAGAGAAAACACTGGCATCTGCTGCCTGCTAATGAGATCTCACTAAGACTGACAGGGAGCATCTGTATCAGTGTCAAAGTTTGGCTCCAAATATAGCTCTCCGACTAATCCAGATCAAAATAAATTTGAGCCTATTTTTTTCGGTTCTTCGAAACTGGTTTACATATGGAACTGTTGTCAGAGTGAATTCCCTAAGTCACACCTGCAAAGGTGATTGTTCATTTATGAAAGTGAGTGACATTGATAATAATAATAATCTGATATTGGGATGGGGAATGACAACTGCTTTTGGGGAAAGAATACATTGTTGAATCCATTAGAACATCTCTCATTCTGATGTTATGAACCTCACTTAAAACTTGAACTAATGACTCGTTTGGTCCTTTTTGAAAAACAGTTTAAATTTTTGCTTCATTTCAAGTCATTAGGACTCCTTATTGGTAATCTGTCATGTTATGTTTAGAGAGTCCATAAATATATTTTATATGAATGCTCAGGTCTCATCCTGGAATACAATCGATGGATCAGGATCCCTAGTGGTCAAAGTCATGCATAATTCAACTGTTGTGTGACACCCCATTTGTCTCTTAATGGCGCATCTCTTCCGAGAATAGAGCAGGTGCATCAGTGTGAAATGCCACGAGTCGTTTGTTTGCGTGTTTAATCTCAATAAAGATAAGTTCAGCAGTACAAATTTTGCCTGTTGTCGTAGTAAATGGCTGCAGCCACATTTGTCATGTGAAACAGGTCCAGAGATCCTCGGCTTCAGCCTGTTGGTATCACATGACAGTAGAGTGCTCCTGGCCATTATCCACGAGTTGAATCAGGATAGCTGAGCCTGGCTCTAATGGAACATATACGTCTGCCCAGGGATATAAACATTACTTTTGATTAATCGCTGCAGCACAGTCGAGAAGGAGTATGTGTGTTTCCAGAAGTGAGACACCTTATGACTGAATTATTGTATCATCCATGAACCTTTGAAGTAAGTGATGTGTGGGTTACCAAGAGGTCATACAAGAGTTACCTTCCCTATATAAATGTCTTGTCCTTTGGATGTTTCAGCTTCACTGTGCAGTGTGATGTATGTCCGAGTTTGACCCTGAAATGATTTCCCCCCCCTGTATCTGCTGAAGGGGGAAAGCTTCTTCTTACATCTGAGTTTGATGATTTTGTGCCATCACTAGTGTTAGTGCCAGTATGCAACATGAAGCTTCCAACGCTGAGAATGGACTTCTCAGTGAAGATCTTGTGTATATTAGTTCAACTAATCGTCTCTATTTTTGTGTTTTGTTTGAACAGGGGGAGACAGAGAGCGGATGACAGCCAACCATGAGACTTACCTTCTTATGGCCAGCACCCAGAATGACATGGAGGATTGGGTGAAGACGATCCGCAGGGTCATCTGGGCTCCTTTTGGCGGAGGTCAGTAAACAAACAACCACTGTTGTTATTAGCTGCATAACATCTTAATGTTAACAAGAAACAGTTTGGTCTTCTTTGGGATGACTTGCAGAGTTTACAAAAGACAATCAAAGTGTTAACCGTGTGGTTAAATCCCACTGATAAAAAAAACATCCATAATATTGAAACATCCATTATCATTGAGGACTGAAAGAATGAGTTGCATTGTGCACAATGATAATAATGTTACTGTAGTTGGTGCATGGTAGAGTTGGGACTTACCAGTCATTTCCAGGTACAATAACACATTTTCACAACTGAAACTAGATGTGATTACACAATACAGGTTTAGCTGTTTTATAAAGATTACTTGTATCAGTTGACCACAATTTTACCAGTATTTTATATCCTAACTTTTGAAGACTTTATCTCCAAAGTTTGACAACATGGTATGTTTACAAAGACTGGAGGTTGCAACATATGCTTCCTCCTTCCCTCCTCAGTGTTTCGTTCAGTGTCCTTCCGCGTTTCTTACTACAACTACACTAGTTTAAACAGCCCTTAACACACAGGCTTTTTCATGCATCTAATTAGCACGTCAATATGTTTTTCCGAACTGTTATCTTCCTAGATACTTCCACAAAGAACACTTATATAATGCAGCAAAAATGAACATAATCTCTTATTAGAACAAACGCATAAAGGCTTCAACCAATGACATTTTGCGGAATGGTTTTTGTGGAGCCTATATCTTAAATGAAATGAAAAATAAATATTTATGAGAATTATAATAAAACAAAACAATGACTTTAAAGAGGCAACATGTCTTGTCTTTCGAAATAAAACCCTGTAACAGATAATATTTGCAGGCAAGTATTTTGCATTTTAAATTTGTTTATTCATCACGCACATATTTTGCAAAGGCTTTTAGTCCTAAGACAATTTGCTGCGCTTGATTTGTGCTGCTTGAATCTCTTCTCACACGTTTGTGTCATCATCGTGCAAGTTTGTTTTTCTCTTCCTATCATGCTTGTTCGTGCTAAATAACAATGGTTGTTAAAATCAATTACATGCATCAAATAAGCCAACAAACAATGGTGATGTAATAATCAAAAAGTGCACAGTAATTCAAAGCTGAAGTGCATGATGTTGTAATTGTTCTCATGAAGTTTTCCCTGGGATCAGTGTGATGATTACAGAGTGTCCTGCTGCGCCGCTACAGCTTGTTATTGACTTTGCTGGCAGACATTGGTCTACATTCTGTACGAGCGGGGCACAAGTGCGGCGTTTGAGACCGGACGGGCAGTTCAGGCCGCTCTCTGTGTCACAGTGAATGGACGAGCCTGAGCTGGCCCCTCTGTTTTCAGTGCAGGCAGTTTGATGTCTATTGCAGTTGACTGCTCTTCAAAAGGACGCGCCATTTGTCAAAGATGCCACAAGAAAGGTGGCGGAGCCGGCTTTCACACATATACACACACAGCTCACACACAAACGCACACATATTCCAGGCTTTTACATTTTGCAGTAGCAGCAGAGACTGAGCTGAGCCCTGATTGGCTGTTATAGTGTGATTTAAAACTTTTGATCAGAGAGTGACAGATAGAGAGGGAGACCGTGTTTGACCCACAGAGGAGCTCGGAGCTGTTGTGCCCAACACTTGCTATGATGTGGAATTAATTACTGGCCAGCAGTTTGACAAGAGACAGTTTGAAGTTCGATGATTGAGAAATGTGCAGCTGTGGTCTCTCCATCTGGATCTTTGGAGAACTTTTCCATGGTAATTACCAATTCTTCACATGTAAAGATTTAGCATTTTAATTTGAGCTGTTGTTGGATTCCTGCTACGTAGTAAATTGAAATGTTAAACTGTAAAAAGTACAAATTTAATATTTCCACCCATGTATTTTATACATTACATGGGAGAGTTTTCTAGACAGTTTCATTTGTTGGTTTGGAGGACTAGTGGTTAAAGCAGACAACCACCTCCAAATATTACATTTCCTTTTCTTTGACATTTGAAGGCACTGTTTTCAACCTTACTTACAGTTAACACCACACTTTAATGGGATATTTGTCCGCCTTCTACTTGTGGGTTAGAGTTCTCATTTAGTGTATGACTTGCTCGATTTGGGGCTGTTTTGTTTCAAAGTTTATATGTAACATTCAGAAAAGTCATCAAGGAGTTAAAATCAGGTTCATATCTCCTATTTGAGGAACATTCATCTACCACACCACATCACAGAACAGGAATCAAGGACACGGAAGAGAAGACGATAAGCACTGGAAATGGACAAATTGGACCGTGTTGGGTCTGGACCTCTTTCCCCTTCCTTGTGTGCGTGTGAAGATATGAGTGTGTGTGTTCAGCTGGTGTAGCAGACAGAACCTGAGAGTGCTGAAGGAACCTGCTGAGTGTTAGCAGAGTAGAGGTGTTGCTCTTGTGTTAAGACTTTTTCTAGATGTGGTACGAGCCAGCAAACATAAACACATGCACACACTCTTCATAAGCCGGTCCACACACACAGCTACATGTGACCCAGGGAAAACATTCCTAGACTCATGACCAGGACGTCTGGTGGGATGAACTCTTTAACATCCTTTTTCTCATTTGTTCTCTGTTGCTCTTTTTATTACGTGAGGATATTCACTGTCCTTTACTCTGTTGGAGCTTGACTTATCAATCTTTCACTTTGATTCAGCTAATATTTGGAACACGGATAAACAGCTTTCATTATATCTTGGGAATTTCGTGTGACTGTTTCGTTCATATTTGGGTTTTTGTGAGGATTGAAGTGGAAAAGTCCCTGAGGAAAAGAAAAGAGACTTCTCTGTTGATTTCTGAGCTGCTTATTTTCAAATGAAAGAACATTTTAATCAACATTTTCTGTAACATGGATATGAAGACTGTTTGACTGACCTAGCAAACTGATGCAGCGCTTGTATTTCAGAACAGTTTTTGTTTTGCTTTATGTCAAAGCTGCAAAAACCGAGGCTGGTTTTTGTAAAATGCTAGACTGCAGACAGTTTAAATTCTGCGCCTCGGGTGTGTTATCTTATCACAAATGTATTAATAGGCATTTCTTCCGGAAGCTAACAAGTTGTGTCCTTTTCAAGAGGGGTGAGTATGACAACATACCATAATATTGATAGTGGTAAAACAGCTTGCGTAAAATCTATGACCAATACTCCTGTTCAAAACACTCATTTAAGCTACAATTTCACCAACCAACACCAGTTGATTTAAAGCTTTGTGTTGCTATCTTAAGTGTCAATGCACAAGGGTTCTGTTAAGCTCTGTTTAATTTAGTTACTGTATACTACCTTGTTGTACAGCGTGTATGCATGAGTGTGAGTAGCCTCTGTCTGTCTCTGGAGACCGGAAAAGTGTGCAGATCCAAATCTCTCAGGAAGGCTGCCTTAATCCCCTCTTGTGTTGCATCCACATGAGACTGCTGCAAATAGAAATCAGTCTCTTTTTACGCCGACTGCCTCGGACAAAAGGCGAGAGGTGCTCAGCAGGAAGTTAGAGATTTGATCATCAGACTAAGGCTTTGTGGGTGTACATATTTTTTGCTCGGACTGTCTAGCTGGCCTTATCTGACTTTTTCTTCAATTGATTTAACTGCTCTCTTTGATGTGCCTTAAGCTGCAGATGCTAGGCTAATGTTTTTTCTTTCTTTGAAAAAGGCCACTTTCACTTCAAAAGAGAAAGTGAATTAGTGCAGGATATTAAACGGTATTAATATTTCAAAGGCTATACTATAATACTAGGAATCATACTCTGTAGCTGCTAAGAGTTTCTGTCACAAATTGAAACTAATTGTAAGCATCTGTGATACAAGAAAAATGTCATAAAACCCTGGAAACACTGGAGTTGTTTGATATCTATAAATCGCTTTGAAATAAAAGCATGCCGATTATGTCCACACAAGTATCAAAGAACAATGACCCAATACTGATTTTGTGAAGCATTGATCAATCTCTTACAATCATTAAAAATTTGGTCTTGTGTTTCAGGGATTTTCGGTCAGAAGTTGGAGGAAACTGTGCGCTATGAGCGCCGGTTTGGGAACAAGCTGGCCCCTATGCTGGTGGAGCAGTGTGTGGATTTCATCCGGCAGTGGGGCCTGAGGGAGGAGGGCCTCTTCAGGCTGCCCGGACAGGCCAACCTGGTCAAAGAGTTGCAGGACGCCTTCGACTGTGGAGAAAAACCTTCTTTTGATTGGTGAGTGTACGGGCTGCTTGGATTTCCTCCAGTGAATTTGAATGGGAAGCTGATATGTTCAGGTTCTGCACCTCTGGAAACACACAGGTGCGACTGTTAGCCTGAATTCCTTCAGACATTTTATGGAAACCAAAGGTGTTTTCAATACTGTTTTTCCATCAGAAAAATCTACACTTTTTGAGGGATGCCTTATAACACACAAAGAAAATTGGGAAGATTCAGAAAATTACTCTGACCACCATTTTAAACAAGTTTCCTCACCATCATCCTTTCTCAACAGGAAATAAGTAAAATACATTTTATGTAACGTTACACATACATACAGAAAATACATATTTTTTAACAAATATTGGTCTATACTCACCCTTTTGAACACAGTACCTGCTGCGATATACTAGCAGATGGTGACACAATTTGATGAATTCTTATATTCCTCCATTTATTGTGTTCTTTCTCATCTCCAGTTTGCCTTTTTCTATGCTGAATTATTAAATACAGCATTACAAGGCATTGACCTAATGTCTGTCCCTTTGATGTCAGTGCAGGAAAACATGATGTAATTAATCAGGCTGATGCTTTTCACTCCGTTGCATTACACTGATGCTATGCTGTTAGCTGACAAACACCTGAAACAGAGCCAGTCTAATGTTATTAGTTTCACCTGTGCTTCCCCTGCCATGGTAAGAAAAAGGTTATGATTTATTTTTACAAGGAGGTAGATATTTTCTCAGTAAATGCTAAACAATCATTTTGATTAAATTCAGTTAGTCTCCTGTCAAATCTTGAATATATATTTTATTTTAAGTCTACAGGTGCATAAGCAATAAGAACCGACATTGAGCAAATGGAGGCACTGAATACATTATACAGCTAAAGACCCTTTGTCCACCCCCACAAGGGTTTTCACTTGATTAGACCTCTCCTCCAGGCTGTGTGGGTGCTTGATTGACACCTCTCTCGCCCTCTTTGTTTTGCCCTGTCACACCAGCATTTCAAACAGATGAATTCAATTAAGTCTTTACAAAATAAGCAGAGCTAGAAACGTAATGACATAGGGAATACTCTGAACCATGCATGCAGCAGTAGGTGATTTAGAAAATATGTTTCAGGTTTGTATAGCTTTGTCGTTCAAAACATATTTGCCAATAAGGGAAACTGTTTGTGTATTTGACTGTCCAAAAAAGATGTATTGTGAAATACTTTGACATACGGGAGTTACATATAGGTGGGTGATAACACATAGCAAAGGATGCAGTTGCAATAGCTTAGTCCTCAAAGGTAAATGCTGTCAAGATAGGTTGGGATATTATTTAAAATGTTTCACTCTCATCCACTGGTTGCTTAAATTCCCCTGAAATAAATAAATGTTGTTAAATACTAGTCCTTCCCATAGTTTTAAATGACGGTATGACCAGATGTTAAGGGTCAATTTACACCGTTATCATTATTGAAGTGAATTAACATTTGAATTATGCGGTCACGTTTTAAAATGAATTGAGATCAGTCAAGATGTTAAGGGCGATCATTTAAATTGTGAACTCAATTTTCTAAATAACGTATACAGACCCTCCACAATGTGCCTTCATACTATGTGTTGTGTTGCTGTCCTGTGAGACAGAGCTGTTTTTTAAAGTGACGACCTTCATCCATAACTCAGGATGACAGAGAAATGCTCTGCTCCTCTTCCTCTTTCACTCCCACCATCTATTCTACCAACCATAAATAAAATCTGGATAGGAGTGACATGAACCCAGACCTACATACATCAATATCTGAGCACTTCCTAGAAGCACAGGCCACAAAATCACCATCATGTCAGCTGCACCATGACACATCTCCGCCTCCTACATCTTTAACACAAATCATGTCGTGCAGGGGCAACACCTCCGCCCTCTTCCGTCTCCACACACATCTGATTTTAGTTTTCTTAACCGTCCCTCACCTTGTGATTCCCTCGTTAGCTCTGATACACTCCTGCTTACCTCCGAAATCCTCTTGCATTCTGGCAGATCTTTTAGTTCTCTGTTGCCCACGTTGTTACCGGTCTGTCTTTCTGTTGCCTATGTTCTGGTTTCTTTCCTGTGTTTGCCTGATTCTCCTACAAAAAAAATCTTTAGTGAGGCTTAAATAACCACAGATATTTGCGGCATTTCGATCAAGCATTAAGGCAAGACTTTAATTGATACACCCAGATAATCTTTTATGGCAGAGAGATAAATATGAAATATCAATAACACTCATGACTGCATTTCTTTATCTGCACTGTACACTTCGTCTTCAACGCTTAAAATATTCACCAATTTTAACACTTATAAATAGACCCCATTGTTCTGAATTATTACGAATAAATCGGTATATATGGTTTTATACATATTTTAGATTTCTTGTATCTCCACATTGACTTTTGTTGTATAATGTAGTATAATGCACAATTTCCTCAATCCAACGTTTGCTGCAATTCCCCCGAAGTTAATTTATTTTGTCACATACTAGTAGGGTTGGGAACCGAAACTCGGTTCCAGATGAGAACCGATAAGAAAATGCCGGGTACCCATACAAAATACACAATTTTGGTTCTGCTTAACGGTTCCTAAACGCGGTAGACCCTGTATTCCACCAGGTCCGTCTGCGCCGCGGCGCCCCGGTGGAATACAGGGTAAGGGCGGACTGGCCACCTGTGTGTTCTGGAGAATCACAGAACGGCCGATCGTCAGCGGGCCGTTGACGGCCGGCTCGGTACGCTGACGGCCGGCTCGGTACGCTGACGGCCGGCACCGCCCTTAATTTTTTCAAACGGCATCATGTAAGTTGCGCTGACAGGTGGCAGAGGTCCACAGTTGCCCCGCAGCGAGGCTCCTCCCGTAGACAGTTCACGAGCTCAGTCACTCATAACACCAAAGATGGATCGCGGTAAATGCTCTAAAGTGAGGCTCCACTACACTAAAAAAGAAAAAGACAAGGCACAGTGTAATGCCTGTTAATAGCTTGCCACAGGCATAGCTCAGTTAAAATAAAGCACAGCATGTATTTTTTTAATTTGTAAAAATGTCAGTTAAAGCTTAAAAGTGTAAAGATATTTTTGTTATCTAAACGTTTGACCTTTTTCTTTTACAATTTTGGAATCGAAACGGGGAACCGATAAGAATCGGAATCGATAAGCAGAATCGGAATCGATACATTTCAGACGATACCCAACCCTAATCGTCATATCTAGACAATTGCATGTTATAAACTTTAGTCCACACGGAAGAAAGAACATTTGAGTGATAATAATTCATACTGTATAAAAAAATCTGTTAGGATTGGCTTTAAACTTTACGGCCAATTCCCAGAGGCCTCTAATAATGTACCTCTCTCCAGTTTGGAAAGGCTAAGCTGTCAACAGTGTGATCCTTTAAATATCTGTAATTAGTTTGTTGGTAGGACAAAATAGCAGAAATATCAATAAGAAAGGTTTGCATGATCTATCGTCAAATGGTAATGCTTCTGGGGAATATACCCAAAGATACTTTGAATACAATGAGTTTGATGTTTATTTCACCTGTTAATTATTATATTATTGGGTACATTTAGATTCTTGCTTGACCATTAAACAACAACAGATTGCAGATTTTCCAATATGCTCAGAGGACTGTTGCTTGTCTTTCACACTTCCAGTTCACACACTCCAATTGTCTCTGCCAATTACACGTTGCATTACACCCACACACTTTATCTGGAATAAGCTGCCAAACTGGCTTCTCTGCTATGTTATCATCAGTCCAGTTTCTTTCCGCGAAACACAGCCACATTTACTACATAAGACACAAGATTTAGAGGAGATATTCTGTGAAATACCAGCAGGATGACACTGTGGCATTTAGATTACACTTGTAAGAGATAACATTACAGAGCTCAGACTCCCACAATTGGAAGATAATGGAAGGTGACTTTTACAAATGTGAGGAGGTGGCCTTTTCAGAAGATATTTCATCAAGTGCGGCCATGGCGGTGCCGATTGCCCGAGCCAGTAGTGCATGCCAGATGGACGTTTATACATCTTGAGGCCAAAACAACTCTGCCTGTTAACTATCCAGATAAGCCTGATGTTTATTACATGATGTATACCTTTAAAAAAATGTGTTCTAGACCAGGGGTGTCAAACTCAAATACACAGTGGGCCAAAATTAAAAAATCGGTACTAGTCGAGGGCCGGACTGGTTCAATGTTTATTGCAAAACGTATTAAAATGAACTTATTGCACATATTAAACCTGGAACTAACAAAGCTTAAATGATTGCCAATAGAAACAACATTAAATAATCAGTTGCATTCATTTCTTATGGCTCTATCCGCAGCTTTTCCGGAGTCATTTATTATGATTACATTTTTCCACAGTCCAACAACAGCTTCAAAAAAACACTTTCCCTCAAAGAAAAAAGCAAACATGCCCTGTTGCCTCAAGAAAAAAAGTGCAGAAGGAAACATCCATTGAAACTCAGTGTGCTGCTCTGTGATGCTAGTTTAAGCCAGATACTTGGTATCTCGTCTTGGGTGCAAGTTCATCAATGTTTGGGGTCAGGCTCTGAGCGGAGGAAATCCTCAGGATTGGGTGAAGGTGTGCGTGCAATATACCGGCCGGCCAGATCTAATAGTAATTAGAAATTATCCTGCGAGCCGAAAATAAATCCACCACGGGCCGGATTTGGCCCCCGGCCTTGAGTTTGACAAATGTGTTTTAGACAAACCAAAAGACCACATTTAGCAGAGGTAATAAATGATGGACATCTCAAAAATAAAAATAGAGATAATTTATCCTATAAAGTCGCTCTCTTACAGCAGTGCATTCATTCTGAAGACATGCAATGAAATTCTCTGCTGTCACTGGCAGCCTTGTACAAGTAGTGGGTTTGATCAATATTAGAAACATAATCATGTAATACATTTACAAAAAGTTGCCAGCATTTGAATCCAACTTGATTTTTTCCACACAGCCTTTTTGACTAGAAACTACAGCAGTGGCAA